AAACAGTGTGGTATTGCGCGGCATCTGATGCAGTAGCTTCAATAATTGAGAGCATCAAGCTAAGGCTATAAATTAAAGAATCCATCCATGTTCTGGTGCACGAACAAGTGGTATGTGAACAAATCTTCTGTATCCTTTGATAAAATCAACTCGGAGCGTAGTCTGGTAATCTAGTGTATGAGCTGACTGACCAAATACAACAGCGGAAAAGCTATTAAAAACACATTTCGCTTTTTGTTGAGACAAAATGTTTGCTTTCGTCGGGCCTATAATTCTCATTTTGCGTTGCACTGTAATGTTATCGGCTGTCAACAAGAAACTCAAAAATGAGCAAAAAAATTCATGTTTGCTTGTTTCTAATTTCTTCGAGCCCAAACTACGAATCAAAAAATTCATATGGTTATTTTACAGTTGATGTTTTGGTCAAACGACACTAAACATCACCAAAGCTAGACAATGCATTCAAATATCTGTTTATCCCTGTTGAAACAACAGTATTTTTACGCAGTAAATAATAATCTCTAAGACTACTCATCTGCAGATATTTATAATAGTTAACCTTCACAACTCATTTTCAAGAAAAAAGCACGAGATAGCAATGAATTTCCGACAGCATTTAATCTACTGTTAAATTTGTTTATCTTAATCTGCAAAACGATCATCTATCAGTTGATAACCGACAATTCATTGAATTTCCAGTACATGATGACGATCTTACCGTCACGTCAAACTACATGGAAGTTCATACCATACCTGGGGGTGATGTCTAAGATCTCCACTTTCAATAAAGGATCAGCAGTATCCATACTGAAGGCATGTTTGACCTGAAAATCAGTCACTAGATAAGTGAAGCAAATAATGTACTCTTACTAAAGTCATGTAATCTTTGCGAAGATTGGTCAAAAGGCTCGGTTCAGGCAGAGTGGACGGATTAATTATCGAACCGGTCATTCGGTGCACGAATTGACATCGGAACTGTTTGTTGTACAGCGTTGGTGGCGTTGACCGGGCTGAAACACTGAAAATGAGACTCTGGCCGAAAAAACAAATATCTCTGTTACTGTTACTCAGCACCGCAATCAAAATTACGACCAACATCAGCGCGATGCAAACGCCTATGATGCACACAGTCTTGTACACCTTCTTACCAAACCGCCGAGGCCGTTCATTCCCATGCGCAGATGAAAGTTGAATCGAACTAATTGGCGCTAAAAATATCATTTTATTTAATTTAAGAGGAAGGAAGCACCGAAGCAGAGTTCCGAAACATATGGTCAGCCATGGCTTCGCAGATGAAGAAGGCTGCGTCAGTACTGAGCACAACATTATGATGACTCATCATGCAGTGAGACTCGACTAAAATTTGATTCTAGCCAAATTCGGGTCACTCACCTTCAATCATGCCTAAATAAATAAACAAGACCTTACAAGTACAAAAAATAGGAGAGGACGGTATCGTAGTACATCCCTCTAGGTGGTACTCCTGATTGATGTCAGAAAAACGAAGATCAGCGCCGCAACATAAGCTCCATGAAATCATGCGCCACAAATGGCATCTAATCATGAAGTGCAAAGGAGACGGATATCCCGATTGTAACAGACTTTCATACTAGTGAAATTATTCGAAAGGATGCCATATAGGAAAGGTAGAAAATTTTGCAAGCAGTACTAGCGGAACTAAAGCAGAGCAAGGTGAACAGACGAGAAGAGATTTACGAGATCAACTCGACGTAACTACAGCCCCACGATGTGCCCTTAACGTCTTGCATCACGTCTGTAAAGAACTGTCTTTCATTGCTGTATTGATTACTAAACTCCGGATTTGCGTCGCAACTCAAAACACTTGCCGATTTGCTCGCAAACTAGGCAACAAATCTGATAACAATGAAGATTTTTCATCCAAACGAAAAAACTGCACTAGCTGCGATATATCGAGTAGGCGACTGTGGGTGGTACGTTGCAAAGTAATCCTG